GGGGAGTATGTTACAAATGAGTGTTTGTTTAATGCAATCACACCCAGCTGCTTGGCTTGCTTCTGGTTACTCGAGAACATACCAACCTAAAAATGGAAGAAACACAAAAGAACACACAAGCTGTTGATGGACAAAATCCATTTTGCACCACCTAAGAAACCCTGGTTTCGGATCCCTGCAAATACCAAAGGTCATGGTTTCAAGTGTCAACCATGGATTCATTTCCTGCAAAGGGCTTCGAAACAATCCGATCGAATCCGTCAATGCTACTATAAATCATAAGCTCAGGTGACATCCCCAACAGCATGCGGTGCTCTTTTTAGTGCTCGCACCACCTCGCAGAACCTGGTGGAACCGTCGTGGAACCCTGGTGGAACCCTGGTGGAACCCTCGTGGGACCTTACCTCAGGGCCGCCCCGGATCACCCTGGAACCTAATCTGGGCTGAGACCCCAAAGCTTTCAGCTGTTGGGGAGAAGCCTGTTTGCAGGCATCGTTTTTGCAAAGGACCTTTATGGCTTTCGCTCGCTATACCCCTGAATCGGTGCGCTCACTAATGTTTCGTGGGGATTCATCACTTTTGGAGGGGATTCATCCCCATATTCATCAACAAGTTGATCAATATGGGGTCCAGAGGGTCCAAGCACCTAAGGAGGTACTTAGACCCCTTTCTACCCCCCAAAAGCCATCCTCAGAAGGTACCTAAGGACCCTCTCAGGGTCAACATAATGTTAACCCTGGATAAATAGACCCCTGGTTGATTCATAGGGTGTCCCTTTTGAGTGGGGATTCAGACCACTTTTGGAGGGAACACTGGTAACACCCCCCTACGGGTTTAATCCTGGGTCAACCAGACAGCTCGTCTTGGCCCGTGCTTCCAGAAGAGCTCCAAGCCCACGAGGTCGCCCAAGGCCATGGGCCCTAGCGAAGCGAAGCCAAAAGCCAACCGAACCCATGGCCTATTCCGGGATAAGATCATGTTACTTTGGATTTTGGGCCATCTCACAAGGGTGTAGTCAGGGTGTAATACAGCCCTTAGATCACAAGACATACGTAAACCGTAGACCTACGAACTGGTGGTAAAGCTCCCTTTCGGCTTCCTGTGTTTCTTTGAAGACCAAGCCAAAAATTGTGAGGTTTCGAAATCTGGGGATAAAGTGAGTCTTGCTTCCGGTTGGTGATGTTGAAAGGGGACATGTCTGAAGAATACACAGCTAAAGGATTCGGATCTGGACATTGGCCAAAGACCTAACAATTTGGTAGTACAGGATGTTATAACCCTGGGTAATTAGGGGTTGTAGGTTTGCAACCAAACTGAGGTGGCCCAGCAAAGAAAGAGCCCAGCATACATCTACTATACCACCACTACACGAGCCAGCGTCCCTCTATAGAACCACTGTATACAGCCACTGATACAACCACTAGTCGTCTCCGACCCCCAGAAGCCGTTTTCCACGCCGTGCTACTGTGATTTGCAACAAGAAGACTTGCGGCACGGTTTTCAGCGTGAGTTTGCCTGGACTGCCATGCCGGTGTGGGTTCTCAAAGAGCGTGGGTGGCCCATGAGCCATGAGGGGTGCGGGCCTTGAAGCGGCGAGGAACACCAGGCTCCTTTGGACAAACCTATATGCAACCACTTTGAAACAACTGGATACAACCACTATATTTGTCTTGCTTCTTTTTCAGGGCACCCCCCAAAATATGATGGTTTTCCACGTGGCTTTCCTTTAAACCAACCAAAAGGCTAGCCTTAAAACAGGACGAGGTCACACCCGCGTTACCCCAAATTGGCTGAGCTCTGCGCCCATGGCCATGCCGAAGGTCTGCGCTGCCTGGACCCACTGCTACTGTGGATGTTGACGCGAGAGATCCATGCCCCGCACCACCCGAGAAACCCTGGCTTCTGATTTGTTTCCCCCGGTAAATACCAACCAACATCAGCCAACAATGATTTCCCGTGGTTTCTAAGTGGTGCGAAATGGATTTCGGATTTCGTCCATCCACTGCTATGGTCTCATGATACGGTGGATGGTGACCATAGGTGGCCTTTTGGATAAAAATAAATTGGTTTTGCCGGTAAAGGGAACAAACTCCATCGAATCCAGTGGAACCCATCGAATTGTATACAAACTAACCTGAAAGGACACCTGTGGATGGTGACGCGAAATCCGCTCGCACCAAATGAAACCATGGTTGAGGCCGTCAGGTTTGTTGCCACTATTTGCGTTGGGGAATCGAATCAGAAACTAGGGTTTCTTAGGTGGGGCAGGACTTTGTCCATCCACAGTAACACCAGATAACACCAGGAAATACAAGTCTGTTCATCCAAATTTAAATATCATTTTCACCCATGGCTGGTAGGCTATGTATGGCTCCTCGTACAGTGATCCCACCAAAACAAATGCGCTCCACCATTGGGCAAATTGAGTGAGACGAAAGTTTAGGCTTCTTGCCTGTTTCGAAAAAGACACTCTCGGGTCAGCCGCGGATCGAGCTAATAATCGCGTTTCGTGTGGCCGGCGTGGGATGGTCAAATATCACGCCAACGCCCAACGCTGCTTAGAATGTCTAATATAGTAATATTCAAAGGCGTCCCGGGTCCAAAAATTGAACGTGCACACCCCAGTGTAATAGCATATTACTGCTGGGGGAGAGAATCGCCTTTTTCCATCCCCAACCCACTGCAATGGTCCAAACTGAAGCTGACGAAACGGCAGCTGGCGGCATCCAAGTCATCCAAGAAGGAATCCGTAGATGTCATTGGTGAGTGCATCCCCAAGTTTCTATCGGCCCTTTCTCGCTTGACTCCAGAAACTCTGCCTTTGACAGCAACAGGCACATCAATAACCTAAAAAATGAGCAACACAATCCACCTTGTGTGTGAGGGGTGGCCCCGGCACGCGAAGGAAGAATCTAGGCTACCCTCAAGTTGGCTGGAAGATCTGAGAAAATGACTTTGTTCCTTCTCACTCCTTCCAAAAAAGGCGCACCGTTTGGGGACATCGATCCCTCTAGCTTCATCAAATAAAACAGAACGGGCCACCTCCCCTGCGACTGAGGCGTGTGTTGTTTGAGTACCCTCTTTCGGATTGTGGAAACCGGAATCAACAGGGAAACATCCCCCTACCATAAGGGGGAGGGGGTGAGGGGTCTCCAATTCCAGCTATCTAGTCTTCCCCTTACAAAGGAAATGGAACCATAAATGGAATATAATGGAATTTGAGAGGTCACCCCCCTCCCCTAATTCCATATTTAAGGGGGTGGGGATAGGGACACCACTCATTTGATGGTCCGATAGTGACATACCCTGGTATGTCAAGATAGGATGACCCCAACATCGATGGCTTCCCCTGTGAATTCCGGTTGGATCATCTCAAAGACGGGACCCTCAAAAAGCACACAACCACACGATTTCCCGATTTTGCCTTGTCGATCTGCTCGATGGTCGCGCCCTCTTCCACCAACATCTTGGCCTCGCCCGCGTAGGGGGCGAGCATACGGTTGCCCACAAAGCCGTCACCTAGCACACGCGGCAGGTCACAGTTGGAGGAAACCGAGAGAAACACCACTTTAGGAAGCCAAGGGGGAAATTGTACAATGAAGCAGCCAATGCCCCTCCCCCTTGAAGGATTCCAAAAAGAGTCGCCAGATTGGTTGCAAGAACAGGACAAAACGGCGAACTCTTCGCCGGGCCAACGTTGAGCTTGCGATCCTGTAGCCCAATAGATTCAAAGTCCGGACTCCTTGGCAACTTGGACTCTCGCGGATGTTCTGTCGAAACGAGAGACTGCTTTTCGGGGTCAAGGACGACATGCAGGAAGCCACATGAGGGTCTCCAGCTCGGCTTGACACATTCCCCCACTTCCGAAGCAGCTGAGTCACAATCAATACCTCGTTTTTGATAGCAAAGGTTAGCAAAGTCCGCGGGAGTATTTCAGGGGTCCAACTGCCCCAAACCCATGGTCAACACTCAACATGGCGTGGCTCACACGGAATCTTGCAAATGAGTTTTTGTAGGCTTCGTTTCGGATCTGCGTCGGGCGTCGCTCCGAAGACTCAACTAATTTGGGCCCAGGAAAGTGAAGGGCACTGAAGGCCAAAAGAGCCGAAGCCGAAGGACAACTCTTCATATGTGGGGGGATCCCTAATCCTGGAAGGCTTGATTTGTGATTTGGAACCTCGGCAAGGCCGGGTCGCAGTTGCCCACCATGACCACCTTCTTGCTGATCAGCTTTGCCATGGCCATTCCTGGCAAAAGCATAAAACGGAATCCGAGTTGCGCGACCACTGGGGGAACACAACAAAGGCTCGCTTGTTCCCCTGCGACCTGGAAGTAAAAGGTTTTCCAACTAGAGGGCCATGACTAAACATGGAACATTGGAAAATTGATTCGTTCAGATCCGGTCGATCTTTGGGCCTTGGAGAGAAAGCTAGCTCAGCTCAAAAGGCGAAGAGTTGATCGGCTTGGTAGCAGGCAAGCAAAGCACAGCCAAGCCAAGCCGAGCAAGCACCAGGATTGCTCCGAAGACCCTGGCGTTGGTCCGTAACCCAACCAATGCTCTACCCTTCAAGTGTTGTTTCATCTTGAGACTTGCAGAAACCCAGGTTGCTGGAGCATGCTTTCACGATATTCAGAGAGAGGTACACACACACACAGATTTCGTCATAAGCCTTGCAGCGTCCCTCGGGTCTTGGCATCTGTGCCAGAACAAGAAGAAGCTACAGCCTATGGGTGGGAACAAGGAGATGCGTCGAACAACCGCAACCGCAGCGGAGTGTCCAAGTCTCAAGGGCCCCGCTGATGGTGGAACCAAATGGGTCCAAAACAGAAGACCCCATCCGACCCCATTGGCTACAGTTGGAGGGTCTTTTGGTGTGGCCCTCAACAGTCTTGGACTAAAATGACTGGCATAGGCAAGCCAACCGCCCGCCAAAAACATGCAACAAATGGGTCTCCGGCAGGTTGGCGTTGATCTTCGTAAGCAGATGATTGGATGTCCAAGATTCGGAGAGAAGCTTAGGGTGGGAATGATAGGCCTCAAAAAACAAAAGCCATTTGAAGATGAGCAAACAACCCGCGCTTCACCGTAAAATCTGAGCTATTTACGAGGGAATTCAGAGCGCCCGGTTTCCGCTTGCTGCGAAATGCCCATTCCCCGGTCCTGTGGATAGGGTCCTGTTGGAGGATTTCGCAGTGCGGATGTTCCTAGCACAAATGTGGGCAACAAGGCAGGCATTGTGAAGCCGAGTTTGTTGGGGAGTGGGTAGGCCTCAATTCTTTGCCCCCTAGCTGCGTGGCATTTTGTTCGTTGCAGTGATGCCGTCTTAGGCTTGTCTGGAAAGGGTTGAAGTCCACGCTTTGGCAACCCGTATAGCAAGAGACAAATCTCCTAGGGTCCAAAGACTTTAACGTCGACCCCTGATTCAAATGACATGTAGTAATAGGGGAGGTCCCTTTTCAGTGGGGATTTGTTTTCCACATATACTCCGATCAATGAGGAACTTGAGGGGCTCACAAAGTTTTAAAGAACGGCAGCTCTGCACACTAAAACATGATATCGAGAGATGTGTGTCTTTTTAAGGTTGGACCGCCAGGAATGGCGGTTCTCCTTGTGGTTTCCCTTTAAAACCAGCCCAAAAGGGTTCCCTCAAAAAAGGACCGACCCATTGGTTGTAAGTCTCTTAACCCGTTCCTGTCTCACTCATAGCCCTTCTAACCCGCTTTTCCTGATGTAAGGGTCCAAATTATTAGAATGGGGTTGTGGGAGACCTTAACAAATCAAGCCATGATCAAGAGAAAATGTGGAATATCGCCCCGGATGCTAGAATGCAAACTTTGCAATAAGCCCTGAGGACCTAGCAACCAAACATTCATAAGCCCGTGGATGATTAATAGGGGCGTGTCCCAATATGAAAGGGGGGAGGCGTGTCGACATAACGGGGGAGGGGGGTTGCGCCTGTTGGCAGGGCGATCTAGGGAGCCAAGAAGCTCCAGCAGCTGCATGACGTTGGCCGGGGAGAAGAAGTGCGTGCCCATCACGCGGCTGGGGTCCTCGTCCCAGCTCTCGGTCAAAACGGTTCGTCCCGATTCGATGGGATCTTCAACCGATCTCGAGGAAATCCCAACAGCCTCGAGGGTGACAAGGGCAAGAAATCGGGCCCCGGAAATGTGGAAAATGCAAGGATCCAATGCCCAATGTTCTACCCTTGTGGTTTGGTCGTTAGCTTGAGATTTCGATCAACCCTTCGTAGGGAGGTCATAGAGTTGTAAGTCCACCACCCCCGGTCGTCCCACTTCTCTAGCCATGATTACAACTTAACCCACCTAAGCATGCACTTGCAGTGAGAGTGCTGCCTTGCCTTGTGCCTCAACTAGTAACGACCCATCTAGATTCTGGTCCATGTGGAGCAAACCTTCAAAACAAGCCCATGCAAGGCGACCTTCCCGAATGCTTTCAGCTGCAACATGTAAACAAAATGGGTGATCCCTCGAAGAAGGGCAACAAACGCCCCAGTGCAAGAGGCAGCTGGCACTGAAAAGCGCCCATTGAGAAGTCTTCTTCAGGGGAATGTCTCAAGTTCATCAGGCTAAAAGCACCACGGTCACAACATCCCCAAACAGATTTGAAACACAGCCACTTGGGTGTGCTTTTTTGGGAGTACCCAAAATGTATGCTTGATTGAATGGGGAACCTGAAGGGAAACCACCTATTTTTGGGGTCCCCCCTTTTTGGACCTTCGTGTATGTCCTTCAAGACTGCCGCGATGTCGTCGATGTTGAGGCCGCTTGTGTTGGTGCAGATGAACGCGTCGGGCTTGGTGCTCTTCTCAATGTCCAGGAAGACCTGAAGTGGACCGAACCTCACATCATGTCAGCCCAGAGCCTTGGCTAACTGGGTCTGTCATCGATATCATGGGCCATATGTTACATGGCCAGCCTGTTGCAGTTGGACCCCGCAAACAGATTTCCCATTGGTTCCCCCTAAAACATCACCGAGGGAACTCACAAATTCAATGGGCTCGCCAAAAACGGCGATGTTAAAGACCTTGCAAAAGGGGAAAGAGACCCCGACCAAAAGTGTAGAAACCCTCTCTTCGCGGGACGGCCCCCATGTTTTGACGGAAAACGGCGGGGGGAAGGGAAGACCTCGAGTTCAAAGCCCAGGCGAAGCTCCCGCCTTGCCCACGGGGAAGGAAAAAACAAAAACATGGAAACCCAAGTTGCATGCTTTCTTCATCGGGGGATTTGTTCATCCAGCTTTACTGCGGCAAAAAAAACCCAAGTCGATAAACTCTCTTTTCGGTTCTCCCACGCAACGTTCGTCCAATTCCGGGGGCCCGTGGAGCGCGCTGGCTTGCCTGCTTCTTGAGGTCCATGATCTCCGGCACCGCCTCGATGACCATGTCCACATCCTGACACGTCGCTGGTGTCACATGGTGTCACCATGTCCCACCAACCGGAACTTCGATGGGTTGCTCCCTCTCAAAAGGGCAAAGATCTTTTCCCCCCTGTCCCCCTCGAGATCTTCTCCCCCTTGTTCCTTCCTAAGATCTTTGCCCCCCTTTTCCCTGTTGAGGTCCTTTGCCCCCCATTCTCCCCTACTTGTTTGGCCTTTAGGTTGGGGCCAAACAAAAATGGATAAGATCTTTGGATACCAGCTCCCAAAGGCTCCCTTCCAACCAGCCAGAATGGCCCCCTTACCGCCGAATTCTGGGGAGCATGGCCAACACCTCGGCTTCGGCTTCGAAGCTGCCGGTCCTTGAAGTCCCCATAGTCCAGGGTGGGCTTCAGCAGGCTCATGTACCTCACTCGACTCATGTTCGTCGAATCTGCATCTCTGGCTTCTCTCCTTGTTTTCTGTGGAAAGTATCATCTGCACGGATGTTTTGACATGTTTTGACAAAGCTCACTTTAGTCGTGTCAAAACATGGGGAAAATAGGTCTAGTAAAAACTCCAATGGTGAAGAATCAAGAGGGCTGCAGCTATTTCTGCTTGAGAGACTTACCCAATACTGCTGCATGAATTATCCTGTTGATCAAGTTATTTTACACACATTCAGAAACATTGGCAAGAAAGGCAAAAAAAAAAGGAAAAGCTGCAGAGCTCATGGATGCCCCAAACATATCGCACGTGGAACAAGCGAAACGCTGCAATGTGCCGCACCCGAGCCAGGCAAACCAGACAGCAAGATCCAGCCTATTCGAGGAAGGCTTTTCGCGTGGACTGTTCATCTTCCCCCCAGGTTCGCATCACATTTGTCAGGTATGTTTCGAAGGGGAGGCTTACCAACATAAGCCACGGAAATATGGATACCCCCTCACTTTGAAAACCCTTGGTACGGTGGCAACAAACTTTCTTTTCTGCAGCCTCCTACTACAAATGAACAGAACCAACCAACCTAAAAACCTAACAACATGATCCAACAATGAAGCTCACGTACGTGGTTAATCCAAGGATTGGCTTCGTCAAACTTCAGAAAGCCGCTTCCCCAATTCGTCGACACCCCTGGCAAGGGCCCCTCTTTGCGAGGGGCCCCTGTTTGGTCGTTGTGTAAAAGGCCGGGCCCGGTTCTGAGTTAGAGTAAGAGTCCAAGAGTCATTGGTGACGACCTATCTTTGCTTAATTAGACATAGTGTGTGCTTACTTTTGTTCATGTTGAATACGTGGCTAGTCTGCACACTTGTCCCTGGGACAGACACAAGATCCACAAAAGGCTTGGGAACCCAAACAAATGGCACATGTAATACTTCTAGACTGAACATGGACATGGCACATAGGCAATAATCACAATGATCACTCCCACATGGCCATCGCTCCGAAATGACGGCTTGCTGTTTGCAGCTAAAGCTTGCAAAGTCACTGCAACATTTGCTCAAACGAACCAACACAAAGTGCAAATGTGCTTCGCGGATTTGCGCAGCTGCTTGAAATGCATGCGAATTCAGCCATCTCCATGCCAACAACAGCCAGCCAAACACTTCCAAACGCGTGAAAGCTGCGCTTCTTGGCTGCTGAGTGCTATAACCTGTCGCAGGCTCAATAGAAATCCCGCATTCTTGGATAAGGGGCTACCCGGCACCCCCGGCCAACATTCCAAAGATTCCAGTCTTGCACAAGGGGTGTGCCTTTCCATGTTGGATCCATCAGACCGGAAAGATCCGCCAAGCTGCTGCTTGAACTTCTCCTTGCTCAAGCGGCCCTTCTTCAGCTGGCCCTCCCAAAGGGACACGATCTTCTTCATGCCCCCGTCCAGCCACTCCTCGCGGGCGATCCATCCCTGAAGCCCAGCGATAGGGCTTCTGAAAATCAGGGATCCCCAGAATGGGCGGGGTCCTTGTGGTTTCCCTTTAAACCAACCCCAAAAAGGGTACCCTCACCTCCATTTGCTTAAGTCCCCTGGAAGAAAAAATATCCAGTAGTGATAGATTCCCTTTTAAATCAACAGGGGAAATAATAAATACTCTTAACCAAATGGAAGCTCAACAAGAAGCAAGCCCCTTCTGTTTCCCAAGCAATGGCGAATATGTGCATAAAACTCCTGCTTGGCATCCTTCAGCACCACGGGCACTCCCTTCTGCACGAAGCACATGGCGATGCCACCGCCCATCCTACGGAAACCCCGGCCTTCCGGTGGCCAATGACGCTTTGCTTTGTTCATTAAATGTTGATACTGTGGATGGTTGCGAAATCCGCCCGCAGGAAATGAAACCAATAGGTGGTGCAGGATTTCGACCATCCACAGTACGTTGGTTCATGTATGTCCTATCTATACATATATATATATATATGAAATGTGTTATTGTTCGTAGTACGTTGATTTACGATTCATGTGTGCATGCCCAACCCCAAGCCAGGCCTTTTGTACAAGATATATACTGGCTGGTGTGTTGGGAGGAAACACCCGGTTTCTGTAGACAAAAAACACGTATACGTAGGAAATTGAAGAGGGCGACACGACGTGAATGCCCTGCGAGCCACTAGTTAGCCAACCACAAAGCAGCGCTCAGCAACAACCATCAGGATCAATGTGATTCGCTGACCTGAAGTCAGCAAACCAATGACATATTTCTGTCATCATGGACCATGGGTGAAGTTGTTTAACTCAACAGCAAAGAAAATGTGTCTTCAACACTGCCAGGTTCAACAATTACGCAAGAGCCAACTCGCAACTCAATTCTAGCCCAAGCGTGAGGTCCGTTCGACGGGCAATATTTGCATGAAACTGCGAGGCATAGTGCGAGTGCAACGAGACTTGATAGGATTCACTGGGATGCAATGATGGTTTCTAGTTGCAGGATTTCCCATCAAGATCACTGACACTAATTAGTTTGCAGCTACCAGTCAAGTCAAACTGGGGCGACAAAATCATATTTCGAAGACATAACCCGGGAGCTGATTGACATGGGACAGGCTTCCCCTCGTCATCTTGGATATGCTTCAGCTTATTTGAAAGCCCAGGTTGGCTTGTCCCCTAACAAGTGGGCATGTGACGCAAGACCGGGTGGGTTCAAACAAGAAGCCACAAGGGAAAGTGCCAATCTGAAGCATGACGGGTGCTTTGACAGTCTAAACAACAGTAGCAAGCCCACATTGCCGTACACTGAAATATGTTGGATGTTGGTCTAGAGTCTGCAGTTGGACAAACCAACCTGAATTCGTGATTGTTTCCTTTTATACCCTGCCAATAACACGGACCCTGACGTTTCGGGGGGTCCTGGTTTGGACCATTGTCCTTTTAAAGGGACCGGGTCCCGAATGTCAGGCTCCGGCTGTGAATACACCATTTCATCCCCCCCCAATAAATCAGCTGCACCCACAGAGGGCCCTTGCGAACTTGAGTGAGTGAGTGAGTGAGTGAGTGAGTGAGTGAGTGAGTGAGTGAGTGAGTGAGTGAGTGAGTGAGTGAGTGAGTGAGTGAGTGAGTGAGTGATGGCTTATGATGGCTTCCCTTCTGCCAGTTGGTTTCAGAGCGAAAAGGTCCCGCACGGCCGTGCCGCTGCATCCAGGCGTCAGCCCGGCCCCCAGGATGCCGATCTTCTTCAGGGGCGCCGGCTTCTCGTTGACGCCTCGAGAAAACCGCCGGCCCCAGTGGATGGTGCGAGAACCCAGACCACGCCCCAAGTTGCAGTGTCAAACACAGCGACTTGGGGAACGCGAAGTGCAATTCGGCACCTGGATGTTCGAAATTGGGGACGAGTCCAAAATCTTGTCACAAAACCTGCCCCATTTTGGAAAGTCGCGTCTGGCTTTTGGAAAGCGCAACCTTGCCAAATGGGCTTGCCATGCGCGGTGAAACAAACCACCAGGATTCTCCCACCATTGAGGCACGCCCCCCCGCCCTACCGTGCTGGTACAAGATCAAGAAGTTCCGTTCTTCACTCTTCTCCACAAAAGGCGAGGTGCTCCCTTCCCACCAAATTCCTTTCTTTGAGATCTGGTCGTGACCCGGGGTGTGCCAATTGAAGCCAGGTGAAAAATTGTTGGGAAATGGAACGAACCGATCTCTCCGTGGCCTTTTCAGGTTACCCTTTCCAGACCTTCCAACCCCCATCCATCTTCCAACCCCCTCCCCATTCCCCATCCCACCCCGACCCTCCCCCCTCTCCCCCCCTTTCCCCCCATCCCACCCCAACCCTCCCCCTTTCCCCCCTTTCCCCCTTTCCCCCCTTTCCCCCCTTCCTCCCTTCCACCCCTTTTTCCCGTTCCCCCTGGTTCCCCACTCCCGGCGCCGCCCCGCGCCTGGGACTTTCTGAGCCAACCGCTCCGACAAGAAGAGGTGCCGCAGCGCGGCGCTCTCCACGGAGAAGACCAGCTTCGAGAACTCCTCCAGCTCCACCTGAAGAGAAAATTCCTCCCATCGACCCAACCAAAACCCTCCCCCTAAAGCCATTGGCAGACCCTGAACCCTAAACCCCACCCTAATTCCCACTGAAGGTTGTTCAGGGACCCTGGCAAAAAAAGGAACCCTTTTTGGGGAAGACCATTTTTAGTGGGGCAGCCACCAAAAAAAAAGGAAACATAATTGGTGCCACTGAATAACTAAGGAAGGAAAATCCTCCGATCGACCCAAGCCATCTGGTTTTCTTTTGAGGGGGCAAAGGAAGGACGCAACAAAAACATAGATGGATCGGGCAACATGCGCTGAAACCCAGCCACCCCGAATTTGGAGAGGAGAAACGAGATCCTCCGGACCCCCCCCAATTTGTTGGGGTCGAAGCCGGAGGTTTCCGGCTGCTCACTTGGGGGCTGTAGCCCCAGTGTCAGGTTGGCACTTGCACCCATCAGACTTGGATCGAAGCAACCCAAACATGTTAATCAATGGGCAATATGCGTAACCCACCCCGAATTTGAAAAAAACAGAAATACGGACGACACATTGGGGTGGTTCATTTGCCGTTTGGTGCCCAACCAGGGCATCCACACACACACACACCCCTTTGCTTGGAGGCAACCTCACAAATTCAGCGAAACGCACTTCGTAAGCCTCAACAACCTACGGATCCCAACCCTGAGGGAAAAAAGGGAGGAGAGAAAAGGAGACGGTGCTGCCACCACGGTTTGCACAAAAGGAGCCTGGCAATGACCCCATAGGCTGAAGCTGTTGGGGGGAAACAGTTTACAGTTGGCATGCATGGATCCACCTGTTTACCATGAAATGGTCAGCGGGTCATAGCAAGGGCACGCACGACTTTCCTTGCAAGCTAAACGAGTTGGACCTCTGGTTTAGTGTGAGTTTACACTTCGTTCCCGGCAAAACGCACCCAAAGGGAGCTGTTCAAAAGGGCAAAGGGTGAAGGTGGGTTCGTGGCCGAAATTTGCAGGCCCGCTTCTGGATGTTCAAACGGCCAAACGGAAGCGACCCATTATTCTGCAGAGCCTCACCAATTCGCCACAGATTCTATGGATGCTCATACTACTCAGCAGGTTCTAGCTGTACTTCTAAGTCAAGCAACCCCTGCTGTGTGACATATCATCGTGGTTTCAACCTACTTACTAAGTAGTTTGAACATCCAAGTGGGCCAAAGGTTGGATTTCTTTTTCGCGCCTGCACGCCCTCGCGGAAGCTCTTCTTGGAACAGGCAGCCTCAAAGCACTTGATGATGGACCTGCAAGGGATCATCCAATCTGCGAAGTGGGGATGTGTTCCTTGAGGGTACCCTTGTCAGGCCAGGTTGGCGTGAAAAGCAACACAATGGAAAACCACCATTATCAAGCTCCCCTCAAAGAGGCCTCGTTTGGGCTTCCCTTTGAAAAAGGTCCGAGAGCTGGTTGTTCATGCAAACAACTTTGCCAAAACCAGCTGTTTCGCCTGTTACGGGTCCAAAACACAACTAAAGGCCCCATTTCAAGATACATCAAAACCTACTGGCGATAAAAACCCTGATGCACAACCACCCTCAGCCATTTGATTCGCGATCAATCTCCTCATTTGCCGTAGATGCGCTAAGCAAACAACCCTGAAGGTAGGGAAGTAGGGCACCTCAAGCATCCCCATACTTTAAGGTTGCGAAACCGGAAAATGCACACGGGGGCCGGTGGAAATACTGCTCTTCAGACAAAGAGCAGCAGCCCAACGAAACCACCCAGTTGTAAACGGATCTTCCATGTCCAGCATCAGGTTGAGAGTTGCGACCCCTTCCTCAAGCATGTTCAGTCATTCTCATCAAAGAAACAAGTCCTTTGGGATTCCTCTCAAAGGAAACCAGGCGTCTCGTGTTTGTTCTCTACCCCTGCCACAAATCCTCCGAGATCCCCAGATCGGCGAGCGCCTGGGCGCGATCATCAGGGGCGCGGCCTTTACCGCAGTGTTGAGGCCCGACTCCAGGGCCCCCGCCGCAACCATGAACCTCGGTCCGTCCGAAAACGTGAACCTCGAACCTCGGGCGCGACGCAGTTTGCGGAAAGAAAGAAAAAGCAAAAACAAGGGGGAGGGTCCGGGGTCCGTCCAAAACCGTGTTGCGCCACCGGCGAGTTTTGCGAAAAACGGGAGGGCCAGGTGATGCGTTGGTTCTTTTGCGTCTTCTTTTCCGCTCGCGGAAAGACTTGAGCCCAACGGGATCCCGGAATGACCCTGGCGTCCTTGCATCAGTTGTTCGGGAATTGGGTTTCAAAGAGCCTGGGGCTTGGACATGAGCCAAGCCCCAGCTCAGCCTCCACCCCGGACAACCACCAAACCCCATCCAACTTCAGGAGCCAAGCCCCACCTTCCAGGCTAACCGAGCCCTGTTTGGGACCGCCCAGAATCGACGAATCGACACGTCGCGAGCTCGGGCCCAGAACGATGGATGGAAACCATATATGGAAATCATATGAAAGCCTATGAATAAAGGGAAACTACTACACCTAATTCAAAAAACCATAGAACCTACATTGGTCGCCTTAAAAGGAAACTGGTCTTCCCGGAACCCTTCTGCAGCTTCTCTTTTTGGATCGTATCAACTGACGAACTTCGCCTATGGATCTGTCCGCGCCTATTGGTCTTCGGCACCTCCCGCTTGGAGATGGGCGCGGGGGGGTGGGACAGCGCGAACTCTGCCGCCTCCTCCAGCACGTCGCCCTTCGCTACCACGTCCACGATGCCGTTCCTCGGGGCGAGAGGCCCCGGGCCCCGCATGGGGAGGTCGGTCAAACTTGGGGGACCAACAAACATATGGCTCTCTTCTCCGGTCCTTTGGTCAAAACTCCGTTGTCTCTTTCTTCCAGGTGTCCTAAAGACAAACCAACAAAAACCACCTGCAGGGGTTCCGCTGAAAAAAGAACCAGCCGGCTTGATATGGTTCTTCTTCGGGTTTCCCTTGAGACCAAGGGGTAAAGGGACCCTCAAACCACAAACCCACACGCGCACACACACACACACATCTATATTTCTTCCCGAAACATCGCCCCACCAGGCAAAGCTGCTCCAACAAGTGGGACCCTGCCCCATCCCCAGCGGTTTTTAGAAGTTCCCAACTCCAAGCTGCCACAGGATGCTCAACCTACGTCTTGGCTATGAACGGGATTCTCATTGGAAGCAAGATGGGCTGGTTGACTTATACCCAGGCGTAGAACCAGCTGACCAGAACTGCGGCTCTTTGTTTGACTCGTTTGTAGGGTCAGCGGAAGTAAAGGCACACCCAACAAAGACAAAGACTGCAGCAACAAAAGCCTAACTCGGCCAACCAAAACCGAGGTAAGCGGTACCGACGTCACCACTGTGTGGACCTGTTCTGCTAGAAAGTACAGGGGAAGGCACAGCTTTGCCGTGTCTTGTGCTGCGAAAAGACATGTAACAGCAGGAGGGTAATTTACTCAAGCAAAACCTGGATCTGGGGAATCTACCTACCTGTTGTAAAAGATCAAGCAAGTACTTGGCATTCTCTCCCAAGATCCAACGTATGATCCCATTTGTCTGGCTGAAAGCAAAAGCATCCCCCAGGAAAATGCGTGGCAAACGCAGGGATCCACGCAATAGCATAGAAACCACACAAACTCAGCGTCCCCTTGTGAAGAGCGTGGGAAAAGTCCAAGCCCGAGTTGCTCGCCTTCAACCAGCAATAACACATGACATGTACCCCCACACGAATCATGGAAGTGCAGGAGCCCCTTTGGAAGACTGGTTTCCTCTTGCAACACCACCTGGGCACTTCCATTCGGGCAAGTTAGTATTTCGAAATCGGACGTAAGGGGACCCTCGGGTGAAGAACCTGCATGGGTGAGCTCGTTTTACCATCGGGGGAGTTTGTGGCAATCTGCCAACAGACCTCCATTGCCGGCATAGGTGTCCTTTTGGTTTGAAATAGATGGCACTGGTAAATTATTAGCAACCAACCAATGCAACCCAGTGGAACCCATATATTGTTCAATTCAACCTGACCTGATGTTGACCCCTATTAATCAATCCCACTTTATTCACAGGGTGGGTGGGTGCCCCTCCAAAAGTGGTCCGATTCTCCACATTTCACCAAGGGGCACCCCCATATTGATACACATGGGGTTGATTCATAGGGGGTCAACGTTAAAACGGCCATTGGTGGCTTCCTCCTCTAGGCAACGTCTGGCACGTCCCGGCCACGACTTTTTCGCTGAGCATCTTGCGGGCAGCCTCCGCGTTCAGCGGCTTCCCTTGGAGGATCATGGTCCTGAGCTGATACCCTCAAACGGCAGATTCTTGGTTGCCATATGGCTGTGAGTCAAAAAAATATGTACCCAAAATGGCTTGCCCTGGTAAATAGAAACTTCAACTACAACCTGCGGTCCCCTGGTGGTTTAAGTTGGACCCGCACCCACATATCCCGCAGAGTCCATGTAATGGGAATCATGCCCCAGGATTTAGTGGGGCATCATTTTTGGAGGGGAACAACCTCCTATGAATAAACTGAGGTTGATTGATATGGAGTCAACATGAGTCAACGTTAGGTAGTACAAACCAACATCTCACCATTTGTTGGGGGTACATGTAAGTAAATATTGCATACATGGAGTGTTTGCGTATACCCTTCGATTCCTCGGACGTTTCCCGGAACTTAAAAGACATTCTTTGTGCTTGGCTGCTTAGCTTTCGTAAACAACACATGTTCTTCAAATCCAACAGATGTGCTTTATTAAAAAAAGGCCAATTTCAATCGTGGCTTGGAATTCAAGGGAATATATGGTCAGTATTATGGGCTACCTGGCACCCATGTCAATTGGAAAGTGGCTTTGACAGCCGTCGATATCTTAGTAAATGTTGTAGTGTGCAACAACTCGCATGCGTTCATGCACCACTTCGAAATATGAGGCTTGAGCAAGCCATAGGGCGAGTTGATTGCTTCTTGAACACAGTGCTGTGTGACTTGAGCGAACAACTTGCCCCTTTTGGCAGCCTGTGGTCAGTTTCTTAAACAAAAAAGGGAGCTGAACCGCGCACTCTTGACATCTGGCCCCCACTCGGAGTAGTTGCAGAACGGGCACGTTGTCCGTTCGAATGGCGACACATCCAAAGTTGTAGGAAGTGCTCGTGATTGTGGACAATTGTTTGGCAATGGGTCAAAATCCAAATCGTACCCCCAGTGAACATCCCAATCCCCACTAAAATTGACTAAACTGGGTGGTGCACCTACCCCAAAATGGTACCATTGGTTTTGACCCACAGCCTGCGATACCAGTCATCCCATGCTGCTTCATCACTTGCAAGGTGATGGCTTGGAATCACACAAAGTCGCCAAACCAATTTTGGGAGAAACCCGGCAAACAAGAAGGATGCAAAGCAGACCCCATATACTTGTCCACCGGGGGGGGGGGTGAATCCAGTCCACAGGCAGTCCAGTCCACTTGTTCAGGTTCCCTACATGTCTCTGAAAAATCACCTCTATCATGGGATGGGAAGGAAACGCACCCGAAATGGGCCAAATAGAAAATGTGATGTTTCAATCCAACCCGCTTCTTGCAGATCCCCCACATTGCCACATCTGAGAGTGGCCCCTGACACCTTGGACGGAAAAAGGTGAAAACAGGAAAAGTGATGCTTCAAGGCCCGCCCTTCAAACAATCTGGGGACCCCAAAGTTTAACCAAAGAAACCAAATCCCCCTATTTTTGTTTCTGGGGACCCCAACGTTTTAAAGACATTTTGTTCAGCCACCTCTCTTGGGCCACAGGGCTTTTAGCCCCAGAAGTCACCCCCAAAACCACCCCACTTTCCGGCGAGGCGCATGGCGGTGGGAAGCGGCGCCACCCGGGGCAGGCGCTGAGTGCCCTGGGCCCCGGGCAGCAGGCCCAAATTCACCTCAGGTTTTGCAAAGGCTTCCTCCAGAGAGGTTCGAATCAGTTGGTACCAACGAGGTCTTTTTCCGGTCTATTTTAGTTTTTCGGGGAACTTGGATGGCTGATTCGGAGCTGACAACTTTTGGTGCTGATATTGGTTCTGCAGCAACAGAGTTCCCCCATAGAAAAACCGGAAGCTTAAATCCTGGGAAATTCGCTGAGAACTAACAACTCCCTACATTTGCAAAATCAGCACCACACTTGGCTGAGATTGGGGGGGTTGGGAATGAACCCTTTGGTTTGGGATGCCCGAAATGCAAACCACCTGTTGGATGCTTAGGGGGTCGGCCCTTCATTCCTGAGAACCAGCAAGCAACAGTTTTGCTGAATGTAGACACCTGGTGACAGTCCGTACCCTTTGAAAGTTCCTGGCGTTGGGGGTTGTTCCAATGTAGAAATTTAATGGGCAACCAATGACCTGGCAACCAGTGAACTTTTGGAGGAAAATAAGAGAAAGACATTCGACGGATTTCCCGTGTCCCATGTTTGCCCTCCCCCTTTTTGATCATGTCGCAGGCTCGGAGCAACCCTAGTGCGGGATGAAAGTGATATTTTTCTAGCAGGTGTAGACTCAGCAAAGGTGCAGTTTAGAGGAACATGATGTTGAGCACGGCGTTCAAAAAAAACCAACCAGAACTGTATGTTTGACTTGCCCCAATTTTTTGAAGCTTGGCTCAGCACAGCCAAAATGTCAACGCCGAAAGGGCAACTGAGGCTTGGGTCACATCTAAGTTGAGGTGGTTTTTGGACTTTCGGCATTGAATCATGTTCAAACGGTGCAAAATAACCACCGAACTTGGCACCCTCCGCGTCCAACCCCACAAAACCCGCCCCGGCGAGCGCGTGCGCGCCTCGGGAAAGCCCACTGAGGACTTGGGCGCCGCCACACGGTAGTGGCACGCGAGGCTCACTTCCTAAATCCGCTGACCGTGGCGGAGTATACCGGGCCCCATGTTCGCAGCGGGCAGCTCAACTGAAGCTTTGGGTCTCAATTTACTGAAAATGGCCCTTTTGCTTGCGAACCTGACATATATATATATATATATACACATGCACCTCCCCCCCCCCTCAAAACCCGCGCCAGCTGCTTATGTAAGAGAAACCAGGCCAATTTAGACGGATGTTAGCAGAAGTCGGCTCATTTCACAATGCGCAAATGATTCATTCAGACTCTGCCACCGATATAAATAGTGGTTGCTTCTACTGTGTTGCAGGTTGTTTGTGTTGTTCCTCCTTTTGCTTTAATCATTTCATACACACGTTGGTCATAAGGAGTTGCGTGCCGCTCCAAACTATGAATTGAAGTGTTCAACAAATGTCAGTCAAATACTTAAACATTCGCTTTCACATAGAAATCGTGATGTTCTCTCACATGTTTAATGTTCCCATGTGTCCAGAATAGTTTTGCGTGCGCCCAGTCTTCATTTCTACTGGTATCCTCACTCAATTGACTGCAACACATCTCTTTAAGGGTACCGTTGCAAGGGCATCAACCTCTTCTGCTTCCGCCAAGTATCTTCGATTTCTCATGTCAACTCATGAGCAAACCCTCAAGATCTAGAGCGCCTGAAATCTTGAATTTTGATTATTTGATCCAACAAGTGCTTTAAGGCGCTTTAAAGCGTTTTCGGTGCCCCATACTGGATTCAAGATTCAAGATCTAGTGTCTTGAGAATCCTGAATCTTGAATCTTAGATCCAACAAGTGCTTTAAAGCGCTTTAAAGCGTTTTCGGTGCCCCATACTGGATTCAAGATTCAAGATCTAGTGTCCTGAGAATCCTGAAATCTGAATCTTAGATCCAAAAGTGCTGCAAAGCGCTTTAAAACATTTTTGGGCCGCCACAGTCACAGTCAAATGCAGTCCGGATCACTTGTGTGGGTGAACCTGGTTTTGAGAACCTGGAGAACAACTTTCCATTTGTTCGGCAGTCCGGGTTTCAACCCCCCAAAAAAAACAAGACAGGGAAACGCACCCCCGCCCCCCCCCCCCGGGGCCCCGCGGCCCCCCCTTCCCCCCAAAAGCCAAGAAAAAAAAGCACCAACGGGAAACAAAAACAAAAGGGAACAAGGGAGCAACTTATTGGAGGTCCAACCCGACCCAACCCGACCCGAAACTCACTTCGCTCAGGAGCCGCTCCGCCGCCCAGGGCGGGGCCGTTCAAAGCGGCCACCACGGTCTTGGGCGAGGCGTCGATGAGGTCCATCATCTTGCTGAGGTGAGCCACCGGATTCGTCTCCTCGAAAAACTTACAGGTAACAAAAAAAGGTCGACCCACTAAAAACGCAAGGGGGGATTGGGGTGGGGGAGAAAAGTGGCTCTTCTTCTTGAAAATCTGAGATTGTGGCTGGTTTCTTGGAGTCCGGTACTAAGGTGAAGAAGCAAAAGGGGGGAGATAAACGCCTAGGGCTGTCCCCCCATTCACATTTGCTTTCCCAGGTTTGATTGTGCTCCAGGAATATGCCCCCACGGATTCTGTCGTGGACTCTATAGAATCGCTTGGACCCATCATAAGCACACGGGGACATGATAGACGCAATGCACTCGGGCAATGTTTCCAGTTCCGAGCTACTATGTGATAACCATTGTTCCCAAGCCTGACGCAGCTGAAGAAGTACAGAAAGTAGCCCAACAACCATAAGTAGACACTTCCCCCTTTCAATCAATGAACCTTGTTCACAAATCCTTTACCCAGACTCCCTGATTTTATCAATGTCAATGAACCTTGTTCACAAATCCTTTTACCCAGACTCCCTGATTTTTTCAATGTCAAGGCACTAAATTATTGCTCAACAATATGCATACATCTATATATATATATATGTATATCACTCCCCCTGCTTTCATGTCTTTCCCCTTCATGTCCCTTTCAGTTCCCCTTCGTTTATTCCTTTCCCTGCCCTTCCTTGCATTTTCCCTTCGCTCCCCGGTATTTTTTCCGGGAAAAAACAAACACGGTTTTTTCGCACGTTTCCGCAAAATGAATGTCAAAAACACACAGAGCTTTTCAATATGTTCGGCAAAAGGAGGCAGAAAACCCGAACCAGCAAAGAGCCGGCAGAGGGATTCGAGCCAGGGACCCGTATTTTGCGACACCGGGTTACCCCCTCCCCCCCTCCCCCCCTCCCCCCCCAAACCCCACGGATCAGATGTGCAAGGGGGGGGGCGGGGGGGGGTTAGGGGGGACTGCAAGGCAAACAAAGGACAAGGAAACCAAAGGACACAAAAATGGAGATGTAGGGAAATGACTATCGAAAAATGACGAGACATGAAAAGGACATGAAGGGGAAATCAAAGGGAAAGCCAGTAGTACGAAGACAACTCAGGGGTCATGAAGGGGCAGTGCACGGAAATCGAGGCAACTCAGGGGGGACATGACGCTGCAATGCAAACAGAGAGAGCGTGAGAGAGAGTCAGAGACAGAGACAGAGACAGAGACAGAGACAGAGACCGAGAAAGAGGGAGAGACAGAAACCGAGATCGAGAAAGAGACAGAGCAGGAGACAGAAAAAAACGAAGAAAGAAACAGAGAGAGTGAGAGAGAGAGAGAGAGAGAGACAGAAAGAGAGAGACAGAGAGACAGAGAGAGAGACAGAGAGAGAGACAGAGAGAGAGAGAGAGAGACAAAGAAAGCGAGAGAGACAAACAGAGAGAGAAGGAGAGGGAGAGAGAGAGAGAGAGGGAGAGCGAGAGAGAGAGAGAGCCAGAGAGAGAGAGAGAGTGAGACAGGATTAGGATAGGGGAGGAGAGAGACAAAGAGGGAGAGAGGAGGAGGGAACACACGAGGGAGGAGAAAAGGGAGAGGACAATGTCGGCGGACTGAGCTGGAGGCTCTAAAGTTTCGCTTCGGGTGACGTACCCCGACCCAGCGGACGTCTCCTTGAACTTCTCCGCGCCCATGGCCACCATCACGGCGAACTCCGTGATCTCCGCGCCACCGCAGAACAGGGCGCCCTGGGAGGGTCATACATCGTGTCTATATATATATATGTATATATATATATGTACATACATACATGATGTATACATAGATATATGTGATATATACGAAAATGAATATATATATATATATATATGTTTGTATCTCTATGCACGGGAGAGTCGTGCTTCCACTACCCCCAGACCGAAGCAATATTTGCGGGAGCAACAGGGGCTATCCTTGACATAGTGGCTATTTTTGGGTGTGGCTCTTGGACACATATGCCAGCCAGGTATATACATGTGATATAATGCTAAATGTATGTTCTGTTTTGTCTGAATGATTTGCCCCATCTTCGTTTTCCTCTCCAGCCCAAACCACGGAACGGGGGTCTCAGCTCACTCCGCAGGGGTTCCGCGCCTTGCCGGTCACCACGATGGCCTTCACCTTGGGATCCTCCACCAGCTTGGGAAACTCCTGGAGCAACTTCGTGGGTTCATGGCAAGTGACTCTGCGTTTTTGTTTTTTTTCCGCGGACGGAACCCGAATTTGTGGGGGTCCCCGTGTGTGCATTTGCCAGACCAAACCTTTTTGGGGTTCCCCCCATTTTTTACCCAGCCAAAACAAGGCCCACCCAGTAACGAATAGCAACTTGGACCAGACCTCATGGACAGTGGCTTAAATACGGGTTTTCCAACAGGAGATTCCTCTAAGTTACACCTGGGTCAACATTGATAGTCTGAATTGTGTCAAGCGTCCTCGGCTTAATCACGACCCGGCCGAAAGGAAACCAACCATTTTAGAAGACCAACATTTGAGAAGCCCCCTCTCGTTCTCGCTCTCGCTCTCTCTTGTTCTCTCTCTCTCTCTCTATCCCTCTCTTTCTCACTCACTCCCTCCCTCCCTCCCTCCCTCCCTCCCTCCCTCCCTCCCTCCCTCCCTCCCTCTCTCCCTCTCTCCCTCTCTCCCTCTCTCCCTCTCTCCCTCTCTCCCTCTCTCCCTCTCTCCCTCTCCCTCGCTCACTCTCTCTCTGTCCTTCCCTCCCTCCCTGCCTCTCTCTCCCGCTTTTTTCCCTCTCCCTCTCCCTCTCCCTCGCTCACTCTCTATGTCTCGGTGGGAGAGTGGGTGTGTGTGTGTGTGTGTATGTGCGTGCCTGCGTGCGTGCCTCCGTGCGTGCGTGCGCGCCTGCGCGTGTGCGTGCTTGCTTCGCTGAGAAACAGGGAAATTGTTGTCAGTCATTCCCATTGCACGGTTTCAACCCGCTTGCACCCAGAATCTCCTTCCGTTGTTCGCTCCAGATCACGAACTGCCCTCCGCCCGCTTGCCCGGAAAAACGTGTCCTGCATGAAGGAGGTCACCAGGTCGGAGCCCAGAGAGTTCACTGGAGGGCTATCCAAGGTGATCACCCCCACGCCATCTGGGCGCACGCTGGTCACTGCCGGCATGGCGCGCGAGCGAGTCGATGGAGACGAGGGCACGATGGAGATTCAAAGGGCTGGCCGGCGAAGGCAATGGGGGAACATGGCCTCCTGTCAATCCCTTTCTGTGAAACTGTGGATGGACGAATGAATCTTGCACCGCTTTGAAAACCATGGTTGAAACCATTGTTTGTTACTATTGGCGGGGGAACCATCATTCCAGGGTCTCTCAGGTGCAGGATTCGTCCATCCAGAGTATTGAGTGGCATTCTCATGATGACTACTATATTGTTTTGAAGGGGACTTTCTTGCAGAAAAACAAAAAAGCAAGTCTCGCCCCTCCACACCCACAAAGTGAGGTGGGAGTCCAGTTTAGGGGGCAGCCTTCAAAAGGGTTGCTGGGGAAGAACATTGGTCCCTAAGAAAAGCAAAAATATGTAGCCGGTTTACACTTGGGATTTGGTCCTAGAGACTTTCAGCCATAAAATGTGGATCAAATAAATCCATTCACAGCATTGACCAAACAAATCTCGAGTTGGAGGCTGCGTGCAACCCACCCAACGACCATTTCAAAGAGGCCTTCCGGTGGCCTCCATCTTAGTTGGCAGTCGGCACAAAGGCACAAAAGCAAGCCTGGGGCGACAAAACGGCCCTACACAGCGCACACCCTCAGCCAGTCCCCCTCCCGTCTTGGCTCTTGGCTTGTTTTAGGATCTCGACGAACTCAGGATGCTGTTCAAGGTCCACCTCCACATTGTCCGCCTCCAAACGTATTGGCAAGCGCCACTGATTTGTTTACCTTCAACAAACACAAGTTGCTTTGCTCATGTCAATGTGAAACTTAAGAAAGAAACATTCCACGTCCTGCAGGCGGACAAATTTCCTGACAGGATGGCGCACGAGAAGTAAGCATGTTGCGATACACCTCTGTCACATGCACCTGAAGAGGCCTTCCTTGTAGGCTTGGACATGGTCACATCCAGCCTTTTCGAAAACCATTGGGGCCGAATCACAATCCTGAATTTGCTTAATCCTTGCTCTGTCTGGCAATCTTCTGAATCCGCAATCCGTGCTGCAAGGCGTGTTTTGAAACCCTATGCTGGAGCATTGAAAACGCATGCAACCCATCATCCGTACAGCCGTACAGCGCACAGTCCATCATCCGCAATTCAATCATTGGGGATGCTGCTTTCAACAACCAGACATATGCCAAGATTGTCGCTTACACCCCAATACAAGTGACACCTCGTCCTTCCACGCTCCAAGCAGCCTCGCCATGACCCCACAGAATTGCAGGCAGGGAAGAGGGTACTAGCATTTGGTTGCAGAAGTCGGCGAGTCGTGAAGAAGGACCAAGCCCGCGTTACATGGGTGTGTGTTCAAATAGGGGGGGCCTGTTGGGGCCCCAAAAGTCGCATCGGCTTTCCTATTGGTTTCTCCCATTAAGCCAAGGTGAACCAGGTATGAAGCCTCAAATTTGGGAGAACCACCTACGTCCCACACGAGACGAACACACCGCCTCAGCATAGCGCGCCTGAAGCGGGGTTTGTCCAGTCTGGGGACTGGTCCCTGGCTCTGAGGTGACTGGCCAGCAAAGGCGCAAACTTGCTGGGCCGTCACTAAAATCAAGTAAATGATCGGCTTCTCTCTGATTGGTGGCTTGGGTTCATGTGTTGGTGATCTGGGGTGGTTTCCCATTTACCTTCTACAACAAGCGGGGGTTCAACTCCCCGAACACCAAATCCAAACCACAAATTCAGGGTTACCAGAAATGAAGAAACAACCAATGAACAAATTCGGACTACTCCGTCTACTAGTCAAAGGAAGCCCCCAAAATCCGCCGACCCTCTGCCTCCCGTCCCAGCCTCCTGCAGAGGGGACCGGCGTGGGATGCAACTGGAAGTGATTGGAATCAATGATAGTCCCTGGGCGAGACGCCCGAACGCACGAAAAGTGGATTTCTGAAAGCGGTCCTGGCCGGGACCAGTCCCAGGACGGTCCTGGGACCGGTCCAGGACCAAACCCCGGTCCTGGACTGGTCATAGGACCGGTCCCAGGACCGGTTTTGGCTACAAGTAATCTGAAACAGCAGAACCAGGGTCCCAGGACCGGTCCCAGGACCGGTCCCAGGACTGCAGTCCCAGGACCGGTCCCGGGACCGGCCCCGGGACCGGTCCTAGGACTGAAGCCGGTCCCGGGATGGAGTCCTGCCACCTCACCCGTGTTTCAGGACACTGCGCCAGACTGGGACCAGCCTGTCCCGGTCCCTGCCGGCGACCGGTCCAGGGCAACTTCGGGCCAGTTTCAGGGCGCTCCCGGGCCAACTCGAAGTGACTTGGGCGCAAGCCGGCCCAAGCGGTAATTAACGGACTAGCTGCCATATTTCTGACTTTTCCGTTAATCCTTGTTTGTGGTCGTAGAGGATCTTATAAGTGGTCCCTGGGTTTGCGGACGTGTTTCAGGACCGGTCCTTGTGACTTTTCCCTTAATGCGCCGAGGGTCGGCGGCAGCAGGCGGGAGCCTGGTTATAGATATTTCCCTACTAAAGAGAAACCATCCCTGACTAGTACGGTCCTCCGGATTATCCAAAGTGAACATGATTGAGGGATAGTACAGGTTAATGAAGCGCAACGGCGTACGGTCAACGAAGCCAACACAATCCATCCCCCAGGAAGCACCCTTCATCAGGGTTGCGCACATTTCATCCTCTGGTGGTGAGTTGGCTTTCCCGTCGTGCCCCAGAAAGCTCGAGCTGGAAACTCTCATGCGAAACAGGCCATTAGTGGTCAGGAGCAGATCCGCCATGACACTTGCATGTGAATAATCGCACTTTATGTCATACCAAAGTGGGATTTGTCATCTCTATGTTCCCACTTTGAAGGGATTCCTTTGGCAAGCCGACGTGGTCTAAAATCTTTTGACCTACTGTTACTCCACCCAGGCCTTACTGCCGCTTGTCACCTCCCAATTCTCCACCGGTCCACCGGTCGGAAACCCAAGTGACTGAGAGCCTCACGGCAGCAGCCCGCCCCAGAGGTCCTACGGCCCAAGAAGTCACCAAGTGGTACTGCAGGGATATTAAAAGATGGGGACTGTGGGGTTTGTTTTAAAGCAACGGTACCTCATCTGGTTTTAATCTAAAAACAGACTGACCATGACTATCATAATACATACCACTATTTCTGGAACTACTATAAACATTATCATTGCCAATACCTCCATTGAATGGAATATTGTCTGAGTCTAATTGTTTAGGCCCTGATATTAGAGCGCACCTCACCCGGTTTCTGGCTTTGACTTTTATGACACCCCAGAAACAGACAAAACGATAATCCCAGCAAGGGTTGCCCTACTGGCTTTGCGAACTCTTTGGCTCCGCCGCAAAGTCTCGTGTTTGGGCAACCCCCGAATTATCCCCCGCGTGCACTGCTCCTGTTTCGTAAACAAACTATTGTGAAGGGGTTGGTCACGTGCTCTGTGTACCTCTGCTGACAACAGCTGTTAGAGTTGCGGAGGTCTGCTCCGCCGGGAGCGGAATGAAGAGAAAACAGGCTTTCCTGAAACAGCCCCCAAAGAAGGCAGCTTTTCGGGTACCAGGTAGTAGCCAGGTAGGCAACATGCGGAACGTGCGGTGACTTCACAAACGCTTTCAAGGCTCTAAAACACGCAAAAGCCGCGTCACACGAGCGGGACACTTGGGACGCTCGGACCCCAGAAATGGAGCTGTCGTGAGGGTGTTGCCGGGAGCATCTGAGAGGCTCTGGGAGTCCATATCGCGATCTCGGGTCACGGGAGTGTGAAACTGATCATGCTGCTGAGCTGAGCTAACGGAGAGAAGCTCGGAGCCAAAACCGTAACTCAACGGGCTTTTGGTGTGTTCGGCTGTGAAGCCAAAGGTTCCTGGGGTGGCGCAGGTAATGGAATCATTACTTGCTGTGCTTCGATTCAAGCTGTTTGGGTCGGCAGTCGTCAGCCAAAAGATCGGTATGGCAAGGAGTCCAACTGCCCAAAGTACAGCCTTGACCCAAGCAGCTCCCCAATGCGTGATTAGAACAACCTGAAGGCATTTAGTAGAAATGGTCTAAGCCTCGAAGAAACTTCTACTGATTTTCACTCGCAAGCTAAAACCATCTTCTTTCACGCCCCAAAAGGAAGCGGCCCAAGCCAGCCCCCACATCAACCCGTTTCCCGGCGGAGCGCTCCTCGCAAGCCGCAGAAACTCGGAGCGTGGATCGGCACCTGGCGGCGCCGACCAGAGGATCACGCAGTTGAACCCTATGGACTGCTGGTACCTGGTAGCTTAGTTAGGGTCAAAAGTGGATTGGGCAACCCTGTGGAAATGATCCGCGGCTGAGATGTGGAGTTCAGACCGTGCGTAAAGCAACCTCTTCAAGAAAGGAAATCAACAGTCAGAGCCACAGAGATACTTCAAACCCGCGATGCCGTGTCCCAGTGAGCCGAGGCAAGATGCTTCGAAAGCCTTTGTCCGTAGAGACCAACGCTGGGTTTGCTTGAAAAATTGGGCCAAAGGTTCTCAAAAGGTTTGCCCACTTAAACCCCTACGAGCCCTGCTCATGGGCTCTCCGCAGCCTCCTACCCTGGCAAGGGTCTCCTGAGGGCTGGGGGGGTACCTCAAAAATAGCCTGAACTTTCCCTTTACCATTCTCCACAGGGAGACATTGCGGTTTCACATCTTTCCTACCACATTGTGCCATTTGATGTAAGGCCCTGTAAAGGGGCGTAAAGTTGCAATGCTTGATACTTCCAATAGCAAACATAGGAGGAAGTGAAGTTGAAATATTCCATCCTTTCAAAGGGCAGGTCAACCAGCCAAAAGTGACAAAGTTCCCGTGTCCCCCGCAAAAAGTTGACCATAGAGTTGCGACCAAGCCTCACTTGTCTTCCCTGTACAACCATCCAAGGTATCTCAGCTTGTTATCCAACCAAGATCGTCTTGTTAATTCTCGCACACCTGGGTTTGTGTCAAAATAGGCGCACCCCAAAAAATGGTTCGTTTCCCCTTTCAGCCCATCCCAAAAACTGTATTCAAAAAAAAAGCTATCTCAACGTGTGAGCCTT